AGCACTGTTCCCTTTTTTCTTATGGCTGCTTACACAGTTGTGTTGTAGCCTGGGGAATTTAGATATTTCTTTGCCGCTTCTACTGGGTATTGCCATACTTGGGGAGCTTGCCAGATTCTCCAGCACTGATGCTGCATCTGGCTCTTACCCTCAACCAGGTGTAACGTGGGTCCGAAGCCCACCTCTCCATCACCACCCATTAGATGGTGCCATGGCATGCACTCTGTGGACAGCATCTGTGTCCTTCCCCTTATTCTGGCTTCCCCACATATTCCATTATACCCATCTTCAGATGTACCAATTAGTGAGTTGCTCAGGTATGTTTGTGTGTTGAACAGAGGAAACTTTGTTGGATTATAGATCTCCAACTTGTAAATTTAAGGGTAGATCCAAACATATCTTCTCACTTTACCATGTTGCTGACAGAACTCTTTGAAAATATATATTTAATAACACTTAGGTGGCAAATGATAACATGTAAATATACAAAAATCAATATTCTGAAAATCAATTATCAATTAGAAAACATAATGGAAATGACTTCATTTATAGAAGACACTTCATTCATAGAACAGAAACACGTAATGCCTAGAAATAAGGTTTAAAAGAAACTCATGAAATTTCTATAAGTGAAATTCTATATTTATATATTAAACTATACTTATGTATAAAACTCCACTGAAGGTCATAAAAGAAGACATGAAAAAATGGACAAATATACTACACCTTCTGGGAGAGAAACTCAAGACTGCCCTGAAGACATTTTAAATATAGAGGAGACAGTTTTCAAAGCTGAGCTGCACTTCTGGTGCTGTCAAGAAGAGCAAAAATCAAAGTCCAAAACCTTCACAGGAGGGGTCTTTGGTAAATTACCTTTTATTTTAAGAAGACACAACAAAGGAAAATTGCGGAACCACGTGTATTACTGTCCTCCCATGAACTTGCATCCTGACCTTGTGTTCAGTTATTATTTAATCTGGATTAAGTGCCAAACCTGGGTTAAGCTATGTCGAGTGTTAATACCCCCAGCTCCCTGAAACAAACAAAAGTCCTCTTGGAGAAGGTGTCATTATTCTAGGCCTGCAATTAGCTGTTGAATAATTTTTTTTTAACATACAGTGTTTAGCTTATAAATATCAGTACATACACACAAAGCATCCAGAACAAGAAGCAGCAGAACCAACAGAAAAGAGAGGCTAGAAAGTGTTGATATGTTAGAATTATCAAACACAGAAAACCGTCATACTTAGTAAGCTGATAAAAATAAAAGCAAAGTAATATATAATGGTAACAAGTTGGAAACTATAAAAATGTGACAAGGAAGACTTAAAAGAACCATACAGAAGTTTTAGAATCAGAAAATAAGTGCCTGAAATTAAATGAGTTGCAAGCTTAATAGATTAGGTAAAACTGAAGTGAGAATTAGTGATCTGGAAAATATAATTCAGAAGAAGCTATACAAGAAGGAGCACAGAACAGGAAAGAAATAGGGAAAATACTACATAGAAGAAAAGGGGTAAGACTCAAAGAGGATACACTGAGAAGATCTCATCTGTGTTTTATTGGAGTCCCAGAAAAGGAGGAGGAAAAAAGACCAAAGTAAATAATTATAAAACATACACACATAGTCCAATGGAACAGAACAAGGTCCAAACCTGACAAAGTAATATGGGATGGTTGATACTTCTAATAATTGGAAATTAGGTTTCATATGAAAAAATAAAATTGAATTATTATCATAAAAATCAGTTAATTTGGATTATAGACCTAAATGTGAAGGAAAAACATTAAGTACTTTAGAGGATAATTTAAAATATCTTACCAATCTTTAGGTGGAGGGAAATTTCTTTACTAAGAAATACTATAAAATATTACATTACATTTAAGAACTTACATTAAGCAAAAAACAGCATTACAGGAGTCACAGAGGCGAAAGGTACAAGGCATACCTTGGAGATAATCGTGGGTTTAGTTCCAGACTACTGAAATGAAATGAACATCACAATAAAGTGAATCGCACAAATTTTTTGGTTTACCAATGCATATAAAAGTTATGTTTAACTATAATGTAGTCTTTTGAGGATGCAAGAGGATTATGTCTCAAAAAGCAATATATGTACCTTAATTAAAAAGTAATTTATTGCAAAAAATGCTAACTCATCGGAGCCTTAAGCAAGATACACGCTTTTCGCAGGTGGAGGGTCTTGCCTTGATGTTGATGGCTGATCAGGGTGGTAGTTGCTGATCCAAGGTTGGGTGGTTGTGGGTATTTCTTAAAATATGACAGTATTTACGTTTGCCACATTGATTTTCACAAATTCTCTGTAGCATACAGTGCTCTTTTTATACCATTTTACTAATAGAGGAACTTCTTTAAAATTGGAGTCAATCCTCTGAAACCCTGCCACTGCTTAGTCAACTAAGTTTATGTAATATTCTAATCTTTTGTTGTCATTTCAACAGTCTTCACTGCATCTTCACCAGTAAGTAGATTCCCTATCAAGGAACCACTTTCTTTGTTAATCTATAAGAAGGAACTCCTCATCCATTCAAGTTTATCATGAGATTGCAGCAATTGAGTCACATTGTCAGGCTCCACTTCTGATTCTTGTTGTCTAGTTCCACAACTTCAGTTACTTCTACCACTGATGTCCTTTTTTCTAATTTTATTTTTCAATTACAATTTACATTCAGAATTATTTTGTATTAGTTTTGAATTAGTTTGTGTTAGTTTTGTATTAGTACGCCTGTACTAGGTGTACAGGGTAGTGGTTAGACAATCATATACTTTACAAAGTGCTACCCTTGATATTTCTAGTACCCACCTGGCACTATACATAACTATCACAATATTATTGACTGTGGCATTCCCTATGCTGTACTTTACATCTCTGTGACTATTTTGTAACTGCCAATTTGTTCTTAATTCTTTGACCTCCTTTCACTCAGTCCCATAACTCTTCCCTCTAGCAACCACCAGTCCACAGACTTTGTCTCTGAGTCTATTTTGTTTATTTATTTTGTTCTTTAGATTCCACATGTAAGTGAAATCATGTGATACTTGTCTTTCTTTGCCTGACTTATTTCACTTAATATAATACATTCTAGGTACACCCATGCAGTCACAAATGGTAAGATTTCATTCATTTTTATGGCCAAGTAATATTCCATTGTATCCACCACTTTTTCATCCATTGGTCTATTTGTAGGCAGTGGGTTGCTTCCATATCTTGGGTCTTGTGAATAACACTGCAGCGAACATAGAGGGTACATATATCCTTTCAAATCAGGGTTTGGAATTTCTTTAGATATATAACCAGAAGTAGAGTCACTAGGTCATAAGGCTGTTTAATTTTTTTAGGAACCTCCATACTGTCCCCCATAGTGACTGTACCAGTCAGCATTCCCACCAGCAGTGTGTGAGGCTTACCTTTCCTTTATATCATCCCCAGCACTTGTGGTTTGTTTACTTCTTTGGTGATAGTCATTTTGACAGCAATAAGAGGATGTATATTGAGGTTTCAATTTGCATTTATCTGATTAGTGATTTTGAGCATCTTTTCATATGTTTATTGGCCATCTGTATGTACTCTTTAGAAAAGTGTCTGTTAAGGTCCTCTGACCATTTTTTACTTGAATTTGTGTGTTTGGAGTTGTGCAAGGTCTTTATTGATTTTGGATATTAAACCCTTATTAGATGTCTCAGTGGTGAATATCTTTTTCCTTTCAGTAGGTTTGGTTTTTTTTTGTTTTTTTTTTTTTTGGTTTTGTTGATGGTTTCCTTTGCTGTTCAAGCCTTTTTAGTTTGGTGTAATCCCATTTGTTTACAGAACATTATATATCACTTTAGGAAAAAACATATAAGTATATATTTGTGAACATATATTGCATGAAATCTCTAAATATTTGTAGTACCTGTGTGTGGATGGTGGTACTTGGAATAATTTAAATGACGTATCTTTTTTACTTATTTGTATTTTTTAATGTTTCTAAATTGGTCATGTGCTGTATTATATAAGTAATTGATTACAGAATGTACCAGATATAGGACGTTAAATCCATTTTTCCATTACGGGAATCAGCTTTCTTTTTTTTCTTTTTTATTAAAGTCTTATCAAATGAACTTCCTTAGTGAATGTGTATTCATGCACATCGATCAGCACGTGACTGTGTAGTATGTACAGTAACACAGAATATGGAATAGTATCAGTATTGCAAAGATAAAGATCAGAACTGAGTAACTATCATCCTTCCATTTTCTTTTCACTTCATGGGTCCTTTACCTTTTTCTGTACCTTAATTGTAATTACTACCTAATCTTGCTGCCTCTTTTTAATATTTCTTCTGCCTCTCTATTCTGCTTTTGGGTGTTTAAATTTTCTTCCTTCATTTTATATTTTTGCAGCTTTAAATTTAGTCTGTAGAAAGTCTAAAACTTTTCGAAGGAAAACCATGTATGTTTAATTAAGTATAAGAGTGGAATTCATTTTGACAGTTTTAAGATCTTAAATTTTCTTTTAAGATTTTATTCTCTTAATTTCTGGACTTTTCACAGGATTAAAAAAAGAGCACTTTCTAAAGTATTTTTTGTGATAAAATGAGTAAGTGTGTTATTTGAAAAATGATTTAGGGCATTTTGGTTTTAACAGGTAGGATTTGTTTTCTGGCTTTTTCTCAGTTAACTCAAGTCGTCTGTTTTTGTTTTACATTTCTTTTTACTTTGAGTGGGATGTTATTTTAGAAATTAAAGAAATTTGTGCTGTATTTGTCTTGCCCCAACTTCTGAGAACCTGAGAGGTAAATTTAGGGTTCACTGCTCATCCATATATTCTTGTCTGCTTCAACTTATAATTGTTTTTAAATCATTAATTGTCCTTTTTATCCTTTCTGGCAGTAGCAGCCAAAAATGTAACTAAATATTCATGTATGAACATAGATACACATATGTACATATAAATACAGTCACACTGTGTAAACATGATGTCTCAAATTTCTTTTAGCCAACGAATGGAATCTTCTTGAGCATGTTTTTAATTGTTTTGCCATTGGAATCCATGGCTCATGGGCTCTTCCATGAATTGGGTAATTGTTTAGGAGGAACATCTGTTGGATATGCTATTGTGATTCCTACCAACTTCTGCAGGTACAGTATTCTAGAATGTAGTAATTAGTAATAACTACTTGACTCTTAACATTTTCTTAATATGTCAGTAAATATAAAATATAGCTCAGTTTTTCAAAAATTTAATATTTTAAAGATACGGTACTATTGCATTTTTTATTTATCCCAAATGTTTAAAAGCCTTTACTCTCAGTAATAATATAATCTTCAGGGTTCAGTTTAAATTTTTTTTTTTTTTTTTTGGATAAATGGGATTAACTTCTATTTTAGCTAGAAATCAGGAAATATGAATGAATTCTCTAAGGAAACATCCTAGCCTTTCTTAGGAAAGGGATATCTTGTTTGGGAAAATACCCCATGAAACAATATGGTAAAATGTAATACAATGTATATTGGACCTGAGAGTCCTAAATCCAAGGTCTGCTTACCTTAAGCAAATCGTAACTTCTCTGAACTTCATTGTCTTTATTTAAAATGCTAATGACAATACCTGTCCTTTCCATCTCAAGGGAATGTTATGAAGAGCTAATGAGAATAGAATAGAAAATACCCTGCCCCCTGGATAATGTCAATGACACCAGGAATTCAAAAGATTGGCAGTGAGTGAGTGAGTGAGTGAGTGAGTGTGTGTTTGTGTGTGTGTGTAGTGTGTGTGTCTGTGTCTGTGTATCTGTGTATGTACATAAACATACATATTTCAATTTGATTACAGTTTTATTTCAGAATAATTTTTTATCCCAAACATGTGATAGATCTGTCTGAACCTATAAATATTGCCACATTGTAATTTTTATGTTGTTAAGTACCTTTGAGATAGAAGAAAATGAGTTCTTTGCATTGATTTTTTTTCTGATGAGCAAATATTCATCATACTTTCCTTGAGGTTAGGGGAACTTGAAACCAAAAAGTTTTTATCTGATTTTGAATATGTGACATGAAAACCTCAGATAGAAAAATACTAATATTGTTCTCCATTTAAAAGGCTTAATAAATAAATGGTTGAAGATCCTCATGAGAAATAAAATAAAATAAATAGATTTAGAAGGGTTCCATAAAGTAAGATGTGACAACTCTTCACAAATAATATGTCAAAAAAGTAATTTACATATTAGAGTTTTATTTTCTTATAATTCTTGTTTATGCATCTCTGTTTTGTTTTTTTTTTACTACTTTGTGATTAGTAAATGAGTATGGAACAAAATGTTGTAATGAAACTAAAGTGTTATTTGAATAGTTATTGCTAATGAATGAAACAAAGTGTAAAGTTTTTTAAATTCCTGGTAGAAATTCCTTTGCTGGATAGGATTGATGATTCCCCTCCCCCCACCTCAATATCGATAGTTTTGATTCTGCTAGTTGTAGGACTTGGTTTATTATCTTTGCTAGAGTATATCATTTTACAGTTTTTCCAGGACCAGATCTAGGTCTTCAATTAGTGTTCAGTAAGGTATGGCAGTTGTACCAAAATTTTAATAATTTTATTAAAATGTCATTTACTCATGGGTAATTTCTCATACAATTTATGTACCTTTGGTTAGTAAAACTTGAGTACAACTTTATAATGACTCCTTTTCAATGTAGAAATTAAATAAACATAACATTTAAAACACTGCTTTCATACTTTATTAAAGTATTTTTCTCAAGAAAGTAAAGTTTTCATGATGGTCCCCATCCATGTTCTTAAAACACATCGGGGTAATATTCGTATAATTTTGTATTTAAAATGTACAATACCAATCATTTGGTGAGGAGATATGAATAAAGAACAAAAAATAGTAGTACTGTCTACATTTGGAGATCTTTTTCTCCTAACTTTCAGTTTGGTAATTGCTTTATTGATAAGAAATATAATTATTATAAGAAATAAAATTTTTAGAAACTAGACTTCGATTTTCAATGCTTAATCTTATATCAGGAATTTTAGATGATTTTAAAAATCCTTGCCATTTAGTTAGCAGCAACTATTATGATTCTTAGATAATTAATTATAAACAAAGTATAAAAATATGATACAAAATGAATACTTCTTAAACACCAAAATAATCTTTTTTTTATTTCTTCAGTCCTGACGGGCAACCAACACTTCTTCCACCCGAACATGTACAAGAGTTAAATTTGAGGTCTACTGGCATGCTCAATGCTATTCAAAGATTTTTTGCATATCATATGATTGAGACCTATGGATGTGACTATTCAACAAGTGGACTGTCTTTTGATACTCTGCATTCCAAACTGAAAGCTTTTCTTGAACTTCGGACTGTTGATGGACCGAGACATGATACATACGTTTTGTATTACAGTGGGCACACCCATGGTACAGGAGAGTGGGCTCTTGCAGGTAAAGTCACCTCTGGCAGTTTCATTTTTGTGAAAACATACCAATTGTGGAAATCAGTCCTTCCACACTGAAACATTAATTTTCGGAATTCTCAATTTTTTACTTTACAGTTTACCAGGTATAACATATGACTCTGTTTTCTTTTCTCTAGCATAACTATATAGTATAATTTTAGTAATCTCCAAAGGTTTTGAAAATTATGTCTTATATTTGTGGGCGGAAAAACATCTGCCTGTTTGATTTGCAACTTAACAATCACTTTCCCTTCAAAGTATTTTCAGAATTATTAACTACAGTAACACTTTTCAGAATCCGATTAACTAATTTGACTAGTACTTTTAAGTCACTAAATGTTATGGATGCTCACTCTAATAGTCTTTCACATGTACAGTTTTTTATGTTAGAAAACTCAACAAAATTTTAAACAGCAGGCAGTGTGTATGGTGGGAAAAGCACTTAGGTTAGGAGACCTTGAGTTAGGTGGTAATTTGCCACAATAGTGTTATTTTAGGGGTTACTTAACTTCTGTTAACTCCAGTTCTCTAATCTGTAAAATGAAGGGGCCATATTAAATCTCCCTGCTAAGGGAGAAATGAGATCTCTCTCTATATTATATTTAAATTTGTATATTGCCCTCACCAGCTATAATAGTCACCCTGTGGGTTTTATGAATTATTTGCATAGCACCTAGGACAGAGCCTGGCACGTAGTAGGGGATCCTTAAATAATTGGTAGATGGATAAAATCATTGAATGAATCATAAAAAAAGGACAGTTTTTTATTTTAAATTAGAGTAGTTCATTTAGAGATGATTATATCCTTTTTTCATAAAATATTTTACATTTATACCAAGGACACATTAAAAAAATAGAAATCATAAAACATGAGTAGAAATAGATACTCAGATCAAAGAAAATATAAACAAAATATTATACAAGGACAGAGGCAGAGCTGCAAATACATGAACTCCAGATGGAAAGAAACAAATGATGTTAAAGTAGAAATGACTTTAAACCACTATGGTCTCACTAATTTCATGCCAGATTTGTAACCAGGACTTTATCGTAAATAAAACTATTTTTGAAATTTTTTTTTCTGTAAATAAATATTGAACAACTCAGTGGGTCTCTAGTAGTAATAGCAAACTAACATTTACTGGGCACACTTCAAGCACAGATACTTTGCTTTGTACTTTATACACATTAGATTTAATTATCACTTGAAATCCTTTGAGGTAAATACTGTCACCTCTGTCATTTACATATTCTAAACATGAAATGAAAGCTAAAAGTGGTTACATAACATATATTGCTTATACTACTAATAAGTGAGAAACCATGATTCAGTCTCAGATCTGCCTGACTCTGAAAGTATATTTTTCCTCATTGTACCAAGTTGCTACCAAAGGCAAAAAAACATGAAGACAGAGAAATGAAATATTCTGGTTAAGTAGATGTTTTTATTAGCATGGTTCACCCATTTAGAAGGTAGAAGGTAGTCAACATTAAAACTACTTGAATATAATTTATAAAATTACTTTCTTAGCGTGAACTTTTTAATAACTTAAAATAGAAAACAACTCTTTAACCTTTTAATTACTACTTTAATTCCATGTAAAGTGTAGCATTCTGTGTACTTCAGAGCACAAGAAGAAAGTTATAGTAAATTTTAAAATCTTTAGAGATTAGAAATTCAAATCTAAAAACAGGATTGTTTGTTGAAAATTTACTGCAGTACTTATGATAATAAACTATTTTCAAATGAAATGGAAAATAAAGGCATAATTTTTGTGGTCATGCACAAATCCTTAGTTATTTTTAAGTGTTATAAGAATCTTATTTTTAATTTTCTTTAATTTTGTTTTTTATTTTTTACTGACTTTTAGAAAGAGAGGAGAAGGAAGAGAGAGACACACACACATTGATTTGTTGTTCCATTCATTCATGCATTCATTGGTTGACTCTTGCATGTGCCCTGACCAGGTATCAATGAGACTTTGCAACCTTGGTGTACAGGACCATGCTCTAATTAACTGAGCTACCCAGCCAGGGCCAGAAGAAAGTAATCTTAAAAGTAAGCTTATTGTATTTTTTAGGAAAAAGGATTTATTAATATAAACAGTTTTCAAAAAGTTTGCGTTTTTCTTAAATCTTAAAACGTATTTCAAGTGTTTTTAAAAAATGGCTTTGAAAGTAAATTCTTGATGTACAGTTTACTAATATTTATATTAGCTTTTTCTTTTTTTACAAATAACAGACACCAGGATAAATAGTATATGTATTAGTCTTGTTAAATTTTATTCATTATCAGTTAGGAGTAATTTGTGAAGACTTAAAAACTCTAAAGTAGGGATTTATTTTAGGTAACTGTTACATTATGGAATATTTATATTTTTTAAAGTATGTCGCCAGTAAGTTGACCATTATGGAATTCCTCTACTAGCCAAGATTTGTTCTTGCATGTATAACGTTCTATGTCAGAGACTTTATAGTTAAAAGTAGAGGGTTTTTTTCCCCCAGGAGGGGTAGATTTTGTCCAGTAAGTTAGCAACTTGTATACTCTCACAGCCTAAGGCACCTGGCCCCACTTGTTGATAACTAGGTTGAACTAGGCCCAGAGGGTAGGCCCTCTTTACAGTCAGTTCCTGCCCTAGCCTGCCCCAGACACCGTCCTTAAAGTCTAATTCTACTTCAGAAATAGTATTGAACCAAAGAACAAAAAGCTCTAGGCTCTGAGAATTTTTTCATAGTATCCTTTCTAAAAACCTTTAAAACAGAAAACACCATAACTGTATTTTACTTGAGTTAGCAAGTTAAGAGCAGGTCCAGAATTAAATATCACTGTGAGAAAAAGAATCTATATTTGCCCTTTATCTTGTACCTTTACTCACTTAGAATATGTAGTCTTCTTACATTTATGGAATTTCATAATTTGGAACCTGATATTTTTGCCTCTCTGCTTAAGGGTGAAAAAACAGTGATGGTAATGATGAGGGATAGAAATACAGGATGGGACAAAAGTGTGGTTTTTGATTGTGAGTACATGAAACACAAGAGTTTATATTCTGCACTAGATGTACTTGGACCAAAAGCTAAATGAATTTTCTTCAACTCATAGAGGAAAGACAAAAACAAAACAAGAAAAGATAAATAGTTTAAAAGAGCATGTATATAAGAATTAGTGTAGAATGTGTTGAATATTTTTTGAAATAGTTGTAGGAGGCAAGTTAGATAGTGATGTTTTGTGGCAGATGGAATTTATATAATTGTTCCTGTAATCTATGTCATCTTCTAGAGAAATCTCTAGAGAAATTTAATAAAATTGGCAATAACAAAAAGGTAACATTTCACCATTTTGGAAAAGATATCTTCAGAAAATATCTGTGAAGCAAAACATTAGTAATATCTAGAGACCATGCATTGAAATAGTGCCTCTGAGATACATGCATGAATTTTTCATTGTCAGAGCTAAAGAATAAATTTATTTATAAAGAATGTAATATACCTTGATTCAGAGGTTATATTACTAATAGAATATAAATTATAAAGGATTCTTTCTCACTCTGGTATTGCCATTTTGATAATTTAGCAAAGAAGATGGTTGCTCTTGGTAGAAATGTATGTTCTGAAGTTAGGTTTAGGATCTCATGCAAGTAAACTACAGCATGTTAAAACTCTTTTCTAATTATAAAAAATATTCAATGTAAAAACTTTGGAAAATACAAAAATATACAAAAATAGTAACAAAAATCAACTGAAATCCAAACACTCAACAATAACCACTGCTTTTTTGTAGATACACTTCTCTGTCATACTTTTTTCCTAATTTTATAGCTAATTTTCTCATCATTAAAATTTCTTTTTAAATATTATTTTACTATAAAGTGCCCTCATAAGGTTTTACCATAGTTTACTTCCATTCCTGCTGGATGTTTCAGATTTTCCACTGTCTTAGCAAAGGGAAAAAGATCTTTATATGTAATATTTTGTCCCAATCTCTTCCCTTTGCTTAGGATAAATATCTAGAATTGGGATGATTGTATTAGTGTGCCACTGAGACAGCCAGGACTAAGATAAGGTGAGGATAGCAGTGGCCTTGGCCATCAAATTTAAGAGGCCTCCAAAAACCAAATAAGACAATACTTTAATGTAACATTTAAAATAAAAATTAATGCAAAAAAAAACCTACCCACAATGAACCAAATGGAAAGCCTGTGCTATATAAGACAGGTTTCTAGGTCAGATTTATTTACTTTAGACCTTTCTCTGTAAACTGTTTTTAATTCTTTGTTTTTTCAGGTATAAAATTGATTTTACAATAAATTCATTCTAAACTCATTCTTGGGACAGGGTGGAAGAGTTTCATTTAGTAGCTACCTAGATAATGACAATAGGTAACATCATTTTATCAGTGGTATACAATAGCACTGGCAAAGTTTTTCTGCAAAGGGCCAGGTATTTTTAGCTTTGTGGGCCATAAGGTACTACTCAGCCCTGCCACTGTAGTTAAAAAGCACCATAGACAGAATACAAATTAGTGTTGTTAATGGAAACGGTAATATGAAATGTAAATGTCCTATAATTTTCCCATGTCACAAATACTTAAAAAGATTTTTTTTTTAAATAGCTTTTTTAAAAAGATTTTTCAAATATGTAAAAGTGTAAAATCAATTCTCAGCTTTCACTCTATACCAAAAAAGATAATAGGCTGGATTTGGACTACAAGCTATATTTGCTGCTTTTGATGTAGAATATAAGCTTTCCTTTATAATTTTGTATTTTTCACCAAAATTAACTTTATAAAAAATTTTCTTAATTTAATATAACATATCCCATTTTTTTAATGTAACAAGGATGACTGGTTTTTTTTTTTTTAACCTGAAGTTGAAAGTTTGTTTTTTCAAACATCTTCTGAAAATATACTTTGAAAGGAAGGCTCTGCTTTTCTACTCACATATTTAATTTCAAGAATGTAAAGAAAATACACTTAAGCAAAAGGGAATTCTTATTAAGAGGCTTCAGAAATTATTATGCTATTGAATTTTCTTTTGTTTATAGGTGGAGACATACTGCGCCTTGACACACTTTTAGAATGGTGGAGAGAAAAGAATGGTTCTTTCTGTTCCCGACTTATTATTGTATTAGACAGTGAGAATTCAACCCCTTGGGTGAAAGAAGTGAGAAAAATCAATGACCAGTATATTGCCGTGCAAGGAGCTGAGATGATAAAGACAATAGATATTGAAGAAGCTGACCCACCACAGCTGGGTGACTTTACAAAAGACTGGGTTGAATATAACTGCAATTCCAATAATAACATCTGCTGGACTGAAAAGGGACGCACAGTCAAAGCAGTATATGGTGTGTCAAAACAGTGGAGTGACTATACTCTGCATTTGCCGACAGGAAGTGATGTGGCGAAGCATTGGATGTTACACTTCCCTCGTATTACATATCCACTAGTACATTTGGCAAACTGGTTGTGTGGTCTGAACCTTTTTTGGATATGCCAAAGTTGTTTTAGGTGCTTGAAAAGGTTAAAAATGAGTTGGTTTCTTCCTGCTGTGCTGGACACAGGACAAGGCTTCAAACTTGTCAAATCTTAATTTGGAAGCCAAAGTAGAATATTGAGGGTTCATACTACCAGTTATCACTAAGTTGCCATTTTTTGTACATTATATTCTTATTTGTGAAAAACATGTTGCTACTTCTGTAGCTGCTTTTACTTCATCTTCTCTCAAGTAATTATGGTATGTAAGATGTTTGGAATAACCATTCTTTTATACTAAAAGTATGTGGAGATTCAAAAATAATTCTGACTGTAAATGAATAAGAGATGTTAAAAATAACTGCACTTTGAGAAATGTTTGCATTAGAAATAAAACACTTGTTTATGCTCTGCAGTGGCCAATGAAGAATTACTCATGCCTTATTTTCTAGGCATAGATTAGAGATGGTAGACCAGACAATTTGTTTACTATTATAAGGAAACTACAAATTTGCTTACAGAAGATTATTTTTGTGAACAGTAGGTTTGAGTCCAAGACCATTTGAAGAATTACAAACTCTCTTTTTTTGGAAAGAAAAAGGAAGTCTACCAGACATGCATGCAAAATTTGCTTAGAATAGTCCATCTATTCAGGTGTCTTGGTGGTACCCATTACCAGGATAGCAGGGAAGCACAAATCACTGTTTAGATCAAGACATTTTTTTTTATGTTGGTAACAGTAAGAGGCTAGAGCCAAAAATTGCTCCTTCATGAATTGTTGGGGGGCTTCTGAAAATACTGACAATTTTAAGAGTCTTTCTCAGGGTAACTGTTTTTTTGTTTGTTTGTTTTTGTTTTTTTAATGAGCAGTGTTTGAGCTACAAAGTCCTTCCAAATAAATTGTCTTCCTTTTTGAAAAGTAATCCTTAAATTTAGCAATTTCTTATTGATTTAGGCTATTTTCAATATTCAGAAATTATTTTGATCTCTATATAAAGTTCTAAAGTTCTACCATGAAAATTATTTTTCAAATCTCAAGTAGTGATAACTTTTTTTTTTACTGAAGATAAAAAGATTGGAAACAAGAATATAAATGTAATATATAAAAATGTATTCATTCATAGTAACAATTCTAGATAAGCACAATGGTGTGGTTGTAATTTTTAAAACTTAATTCATTGTTTGGTCTGATTAAAGCAAGCATTGATCAGGACAGCTTCAAAGAGGTAATTTACCTCCTATTCCCTTCTAGTAATCCTTACATTCTAAATTTTTGTCTCTGGGAAATAACAAGAAGGGAATGTAATTACATTAGGGAAAATCTAATCTTTGTTGTTTAAATGGTGTCACTTCTCACATCAAAGCCATTTCTCCAGCCTCAGAGACACAAAATAATGCTTCCACCATTTTCTGTCTGGTGACTTTAAAACTGAAGTTTTAGTTAGGAAAAAGTCACTAAATGTCTGGAAACTTGTATGCCACTATCTATGCAGTGTTGTTATAGTTTGTTTATTTCTGTGTTTTGAATATGATTTTCCTAATGCTTTGAATAAAATTTTGTTAAAATTAATTTTTTATGTAATGTGAAATAACAGTTATTGAATATTTTAGTATACTACAAGTGATAGTCAAAAAAAATGTCCATGCATTAGAGTCCACGGTTGGTAGCAGGTTGATTTGGAAATTTCTGGGTTAAGTATCTGTAGCAGCATCATCCAAATGAAATGTTATAGTGTTTTATTACTATTCAGAACAAGTATAACAGAAAAGCCAAATGTTAAATTTTGAACTTAAAGCTACAAAAAAGTTAAACTAATGTTAAGTAAAATCCCCCTTCAAATTTCTGAGCCAGTGCTGAGCAAATTAGCTTTTACTAAAGCATATGTCTGTACTAAGAGATAGTCAAATGTAAAGGTATATGAAGGGAACCCTGCCAAAAAATGGAATTTATTTATTTTTTAAAAATGTGTATTTATTCTTACATATTTAAGCTTCAGTTGCCTTCTAAGTACTCTCCATTTGAGGCAGTACACCTATTGAGACTTTTTTTTTGCTGCTCAAAAGTTTTCAAACTCTTTGATTTTGATGCCATTAGTGCTTCTGCCATTTTTTTTGTTTCCCCTCTTGCACATCAGCAAAACATTTCCCTTTGAGGACATTTTTCATCCCAGGAAAACAACAACAAAAAAATGTTGCCGGAGCATGATTGGTTGAATAGGTCACAGGGGTCATGCAGTTTTTGGTCAGAAATTGCTGGAACAGTCAGCACAGGTGATGTGGGCAGGTGCACTCATAAATTACCCATCGTAAAATGAGAAAACACTTTGAAAGAGTCTTTAAAAAAAATTACTGAAGCCAAAAGCAGCCTTTCAAAACAACACCAGCAGGTGCACTGGTAACCGAAGGGTTCCTAGATTAGTCACTGAGTAGGGGAAGCTTGTACTGCAAGGGGCCCGCCCTCCAGAAGATAATTCCAGGTATTGGCGGGGGAGAGGGGTAATCTGTCCTCACAGTCTGCATTCTTTATAAAGTATTAAGATGGTACTAGAAATTATATCAAAAGGTAGCACACACTTTTACAGCCAAAAAACCTAATGTTTTGACATACTTTATGTGAAAGTACAACCAAAAACTTCTGGGCTAAAAATGTGACTTGAGCCAATTTATTAAAAAGTTATGGCATGTCCACTTTGATGATTTCTCCTACCCAAAGAAACAAACAAAAAATTATAAATGTCTCTTAGAAGATGATATCCTCAATTAAAACTGCCAGTTTTTAAAACAGTAAAATAACTGACAGTATAGAGAAGGAATATTTATGGGAGGGATTAAGAAGTAGATAATTTTTATGGCTTTCATTTTATATATCATGTTTAGAAAAACATTAGAATGATAAGAATTACTTTAGGACAAAGTTTTTCCTAAAAAAAAAAAATGACATGGAGATATTTTTCAATATAATGTTGACATTTTATTTTGTTACATGATATTTTGCTAAAACCACAAAAGCACTACCCGCTAAAAAAACTTTTTTAAAAATGGACACTGTTATGTGATAAATTAAGAAGCTAAGTTCTTTTTCTATAACTTTTCACTTACGCTATTCTTTGTGTTAGTTTACTCTGACTCAGCTCTTCCTCCCTGGCATACTTGGATTTATTTTTGCATAGTTTCTATCTTGCTCTTCTTAATAAATTACAAAAGTCTACCGAAAAGAGCTTTTTCAGACCAGTGTTTCTGTAAGCTCTGTGCTTTAAAAAAAATTACATTGTTAATTAAAATGCAATTATAGTTAGTGCATTAGTGGGGAGATTTGAGTAAAATATTTATTAGAATCTGTATGCAATTGTATATTTGTAAATTGTGGCTTAAATATATTCACTGTGTTGGATACTGCTTCTTTATACGTATCTTACATTTAGTACTTAGTCTCTTTCAAAGTAATGTTCTACATTACCTTTTCACAGGCAATGTGATAGATAATATGTATGCCAGAAGAAAATGGCTTAAGAAAGTGATTAGGTATATTTTATAGCAAATATTTAAAGGAATTTCATCTGTATATTTGAACATCTCTATTGGAAACTGCTGGACTGTCATCTCTTTTCAGACAGATGCTTACACATCTTGGTATTTCAGGAACACAGTTACCCAGAAGAGTGCCTTGCCCATAATAGGAGGTATTTTAAAAATATTTTTGACTGAGTGAATAAATTTAGAATCCTAAGCAGAGATTGCAATAACTTGATTGTAAATTACTACATTTTCTTCCAAATTTTATGTTAAGCAAATACTATTTCAAGATCCTTATTAAGTTAATAATTGCTGAAGACTTATGGAGTCAGTAAAAGTTTAAAAAAAAACCTCACAGTTAGTAATTAGTGTCAAGATTAGGGAGAAAAAACAGGCAGGTTTGATTGAATGAAAACAGATGATGTCACCAAAAAAAAATGGCCATTTGTGGGTTGAGTCCATTTTCATCATGGCTCTGCTATAATTAAGATTGAATCTTTCATTGATTTACCCATTAGAAACATAGGTTGGAGAGTTATTACTAATAAAAATTATTGAAAGAACTTCTGATACTGTAGGCCAAGGTAGAGGTGTAGGTAGACACACTTTGCCTCCTTGTGCAAGCATAGCAGGAATTACAACCAGATCTCAAATCAACACCCAGAACCATCAAAATTGAGTTGCATGGAAGTCTGACAACCAAGGTTTTAATGAAGCCACATTCATCCAGATAGGTAGGCAGGGCAGAGTCTTGGAGATGGGAAGAGACTGCTGTGGCGAGGAAAGGGCAGTGTCAGTGATGGAACGCGGTGGGGGTTGGATCAGCAGAAGAAACTGCCAGATTTTCACCATTTTTAAAGGGTCAGCATAGACTTAGAACATGTACAAACCCACCTACTTTGGGCTTCACCATGGCAGCAGTCAAGAGGGTGCCAGTTGCATACAGGAAGTGGATGAAGTGACCAAATGGTGAGTGTAAGGCAAACCTCCAGAAGTTAGGCAGTGGCACTGTCCCTTCTCTGAGCCCTCCCACACACAGCCACAAAGTGGTAGAGTGGCTCACCGCATCCTAGCAAATACCTGAGTTCTGACCCATACAACTTAACAAGTGTGTTAAGTCAGGGAAGGAGGCAAACAGTTCCACCTAATACACAGAAACAAACAGAAAGGCTGCCAAACTGAGAAGACAAATATATCCCAAATGAAAGAACAGAGCAAAACCACACAAAAAGAAGTTAATGAAATGGAAATAGCCAATCTATACAATGCGGAGTTAAAAACACTGGTGACCAGGATGCTCAGAGAACTCATTGAGTACAGCAAAAACATAGGAAGAAATGATTACACTAAGTGAAATAAAAATCCACAGGGAACCAACAGTGAAAGGAAGGAAGGAAGCAGGGATTCACATCAATGATTTGGAACATAAGGAAGATATAAGCATTCAACCAGAACAGCATGAAGAAACAAAAAAAAGAAAAAGAAATGAGGATAGGCTTTGGAACCTCTGGGACAACTTGAAATGTACCAATTATCAAGTCATAGGGATGCCAGAAGGAGAAGAGGAAGAATAAGAAATTGAAAACTTATTTGAAAAAATAATGAAAGAAAACTTCCCTGATTTGGTGAAGGAAATGGACATACAAGTCCAGGAAGCACAGAATTCCAAATGAGATGAATCCAAAGAGGACATCACCAAAGCACATCATAATTAAAATGCCAAAGTTTAAAGATAGAGAATCTTTTTTTCAAAGATGTTATTATTTTTAGGCAGAGGAGAAAGGAGGGAGAGAGGGAGAGAAACATCAATGTGTGGTTGCCTCTCGTGTGCCCCCTACTGGGGACCTGGCCAACAACCCAGGCATGTGCCCTGACTTGAAATCGAACCAGAGACACTTTGAGGCCATTTGAGTGGATTGAGGCCATTGCTCAATCCACTGAGCCACACCAGCCTGCGCTAAAGAGAGAATCTTAAAAGCAGCAAGAGAAAAACCCAGAGTTACCTACAAAGGAGTCCCCATATAAATAAATATCAGCTGATGTCTCAAACTGGCAGGGGACTGGCAAGAGATATGCAATGTGATAACCCAGACTATTTTATCCAGCAAAGCTATAATTGAGAATGGAAGGGTAGATAAAGTGCTTCCCACACAAGATGTTCATCATCACCAAGCCATTATTACATTATTACATATGAATATATTATTACATAGAACATATTATTACATATGAACTGAAGGAAGTCATCATCACCAAACCATTATTACACTAAAAGAAGATCAAAACAATGAAAATTAAAAAGGCAACAAATTCACAACAATCAACAACTGAATTAAAAAAAAAAAAAAAAAAAAACAAGCAAACAACCAGAACAGGAAAAGAATCATTGAAATGGAGATCATTTGGGGAGTTAGCAGCTGGGAGGCAGAAGGGAGAGAATGAGGGAAATAGTGCAGGGGTTTAGAAGCATAACTGGTAGGAACAAAAATAGAAGGGTAGTTTAAGGGTAGTATAGGAAATGGAGAAGCCAAAAAACTTACACTAGTGACCCATGGACACAAACTAAGGATGGAAATTGCTTGGGGAAGAGGGGTACCGGGCAGAGGGGAGCAAATGGAAGAAAATTTGGGAAAACTGTAATAGCATAATCAATAAAATATACTTTAAAAAAAGTCTGATTAAGAAAAAATTTGGCTATAAATAGGGACAGCTAGATTGTAAAGTCAGAAAAAAATTGGCCTATAAACATATGCAAGTTCAGGACAACATAAGAAAACTACAAATATCTCATTTTTTTAGTATTTTCCTATTCACTAGTTGCAATACATAGCTATAAAGTATGAAACAACAAAACTTAACTTGTGATTGAGCAACTACATGGTTGATAAAGTAATTTACATTTATGTTTGTTAGGAAATATTACTTAGACCAAAGCTGATGTGTAATTGAAACTACCATCTAAGCACTAGGTTTTTTTAATGTTATAATAAAATATTTTTTGATA